CGCAATTTAGCCGGCTTTGTCGCTCAAGCATGGAGCTGACTTATTTCTCTAGAAAGAGGGCAGAGATCCCTATATATTCATTTGCTAAGCATGCAAGAGAAAAGGAGACGACTTCCATTTATTCTCCTCATGTATTGATACTAGAAGGGATTTTTGCTCTCTATGATCCTCGAGTCCTTGAACTTTTGGACATGAAGGTATACTTATTATTTTTCCATTCATACCGAAGGGCCAAAATGCTAATTTTAATTTCATTCTAGATTTTCTGTGAAGCAGATGCGGATACTTGCTTATCTAGACGAAGTACATGACCCTTAGACCGAAATTTTGTAATGAGCATAGCTGACTATCATGCTTTAGTACTTCGTGATGTTGCAGAAAGAGGTCGTGTAAGTCAGCTCCTCAGAGCAAAGATCCCCTGCATTAGAAACTTTGACATTTGCTCTCACGACATGCATGTATTACTAGTGCATGTCTTTGGACTAAATCAATCCTTAAACGATGTTTCTATCCTGATATTATTAGACAAGCAAATTAATCCCAAGATCCCAATGGTAGGATATCGAAGGTTGTATCAAACAATGGTTCAGCTTCGTCAAACCCAATTTTGAGCAATATGTAGAGCCGCAACGAAAAGTGGCAGGTGAGATTCTCATTCTTCATTACTTAATTCATTTTAACGTCAGTCAGACATTATTGTTCCAAGAGGTGTTGAGAATAGAGTTGCCATAAGTATGCCAAATTGCGTTCTGAAATAACCCTCCTGACACCGTTCAGCAATGGTCATCCAATATATCGAGCGGAAATTAATTGAGAAGTCTAAGAGTCACCGCGCTGACCTCAAGAAGCTTGGGCAATATGCCGAAGACGAGGCATTGACAGACAAGATCCACGTGCTCGAAGAAAAGCCCCAGTTGCGTGGTATGAGCACAATTATCATGGATGGCGATGCTCTAACCGAGGACTTCATATTTTACTGGGACCGGTTGGCCACATTACTTGTCGAACATGCTATGAATGATGTCTGTTTTCGCTCGAAGACCATTGAGACTGCTGCAGGGAACAAATACAACGGCTTAATCGCTACTGGTGAAATCAGTGCAGTTGTGGTTCTCCGAGCAGGAGGAGCATTTGAGACTGGGCTGAAGCGCGTAATTCCGGATTGTAAAACTGGTCGTTTACTAATTCAGTCCAATATTCGAACAGGTGAGCCAGAATTACATTATTTGAAGCTCCCAGAGGATATCAAATTGCACGACAGTGTGCTTCTACTCGACCCACAGGTAAATCTGCCCTTTTTAGAATCATTCTTTGTCTAATTTTCTTGGAGATGAGTAGTGGGGGGGCAGCCTTGATGGCTGTTCAAGTGCTTGTCGATCATGGCGTTGCTGAGAACAAGATCGTCTTTGTCACATACTCTGCCGGGAAAGTAGCAATACACAGGCTGAACAAAGTGTTTCCGGAGCTGAAAGTTGTCGTTTGTACGATTGTCAACGACTTTGAACAAAGATGGATCGGAGAACGCTACTTCGGTTGTTAAACAGAGACTGGAAGCATAGTTGGAAATCTTTATTGGGAGGCACTTAGGTCTCTATGGAGGCAATGATGCCTCCTCATGATGGCGATCAGATGTCCATTTGCAGAAAGTATATAGAATTGGGTCAGTGTAATTAAAGTCATGGACCTCTGTCTTCATTGGATGCCAGTGAATTTCAATGTTCCAAGTGGGTATCGTACAGTACATGGCCCTTTCATACAAGTGATTAACAGACCTCAGTAGCTTAAAAAATAGCTCGCCTGTTCATTCTAACTATGACAGATGCTTTGCCTCAAATTATAGACTAGGTAGCAACTACTATTTATCAGTACACAAATAAATGCCACTTAGGGCCCAGCTGAGGAGGCAACTAGCACGCCACGGTATCTCAGCTTCCCCAATTGCATTCTTTCCAAAGCCTTCGCAAGGCCCTCCTCGCTCAAATCAAATTTCTCGATCGTGGGCTTGACCTGATGACGAGCAGCAAAATCCAACATATCATCATGGATTCCTCGGTGAGCAACGAGACTTGACTTCAGATTATAACCACCGAAAAATAGTGGCCAAGCTCTGATAACACGTTAGATACGTTTATCAACGTAAGGAGATACTCACGGAAGCTCGATGTTGCCATATGGCGCTGCAAGGGGTACGATCGTTGCCGTGCGAGCGAGGACATTCTTATTCAAAAATCTGTTGAAGTTAGCAGATGTTATTCAGGCATGTCTCGAGTACTCGCTTAGCCCAATCAGGGTATCTTGTGCCAGCAACAAGCAGTACATTGATGGGTTTTGTCAATTTCTCTGTTTCGTTCAGAAGATAGAACTCATTAGCACCAAGAGATATCGCTTCGTCCTTCTTGTCAGCTGTTGAAGAGAAAACAATTGTATCAAAGCCGAGCTTTGCAGAGAATTGGATGGCAAGATGGCCCAGACCACCGATCCCAAGAATCGCAACTCTGTCTCCAGGTCGAGTGGAGGATACAATGGCAGAATATACAGTTGCTCCTGCACATTGAAGTGGCGCTGCATCTTCAGAAGAAAGACTATCTGGGATTTTGTGGAGAAAACTTTCTACCCCAATGTCTGTTATCCAATTCAGTAACAGTTTCATACACATTATCAAAGCTCTTACAGTAATCTCCAAATGTGCCAGTACTAAATCCAGCTTCTCCATAAACATTCCGCTCATAGCACCAGACGTCCTGTCCTTTCAAGCAATAAACGCAGTGGCCACAACTCTGCCCATGTTAGAAATACAGATAAATTTTAACGGTATCTTAACTTGCATTTCTGACATATCCAGCACCTGCTCTATCCCCTATCTTGAACTGAGTAACTGTGCTGCCAATTTTTTCGACAATCCCGACGCCTTCATGGCCTAATGCTGCTCCATGTGGTATGACATGAAGATCGGTTCCGCAGAGACTCGCATGGGTAATCCTGATGAGAACTTCTTTTGGGCCAAGCTCAGCGGGGAGTTCAAGGGGGACTTTCTTCACGCTGCCTTCAACACCACGGAAGACGTAACTGGGAATGGAGGAAGACATATTACTTGCTTCTGATTGTATTTGATTGTAGTTGTTGAGGGATGGAAGGAGGTTCTTAAGATTTGTGAGTAGATTTGAAGCAAGCCATTGGGGCTTTATATAAAAAATTCATGATCACATAATATCTAAAACACGAAAATCCTTTGATGATCTTGGGCCTTGAAACTGCCCATGACTTAACTCCGAAGGCATCTCAGGACGCGTTGATACCATGAGAGAGGCGAAATGATTAATGATCATTTTGCTTTATCATCCACGCAACACATCGCCCTTTCAAGCAGGTTGCACCTTTAATGATTGGAACAACTTCCAAATTCTGGTCTAAATTTATTCTCCAATATGATTAATCAGCAGGTCGCGCAGAGCTATCTGTAAGCTATCTTTCTTTAGTAACAGATGGCTAAGGACAGCCTTCATTCTAGGTTGCCACATTAAGGAGCCTGCCGGAACTAACAGTTTGTAGCAACAGACTGCCAGAATACAGTTCCGTAACTTATTGAGTAAATAAATATTCAAACTAGCTGGATCAAACTAGTGATTGCAAATCTGGATTGAAATATAGTTCCAAAGCGTTACAAATAGTAATGCACTTCAATTAATAAACTGTCCGACGCCAAAAATACATGTGAAGAAGGATCTCTTGAATGATTGGAAGAATAGAAAGATACCAGGAATAGGTCTTGCATAGCTATCTTTGTGAGTATACAACATACTACATTGAGTCTGAGATGCCCCTTGTCAAGACAATATCATAGGATAGCCAGGGCTCTTAATTGGCATACGCATTATTTGCAAAAATAATCTTTATACCGGAACTAAAATGTTTTATAGACTTAAGGACATATATCTAACGCCTTTAATCTGGTGAATGATCCTATATGAGATTTTCTAGAAAACGAGATGGGTTTGACCAAGGCTATAAGATCAGGCAAGAATATATATATGGATTCCGACAGGGAATGCAGTGCGGGCTACAACAATGGAGATCAGAGCAGAAAATAAACAGCAGACTGTAGGTACGTATGATAAAGTTTTAATTAGATTCCTGCTCCATGTATGCAGCGAAGAGGCGGTCTTACTTGAGTAGTATAACATTGCAGCCGACACAGAGGATATACGCTTAGAATAATCAGCTTAGTACAAAAAGGAGAGCACTTTGATGACGAACTTTCATTCAAAATTATTCTCGTTACTCTGGGTCTTTTTGTACCCAAAGTAATTTCTGAGGTATCATTCCCATCACCCAGTTGTCAACAAAATCCAGGCACATACCGCTTAAGAAATAATCAATGAGCCTAGTATAGTTCCAATATCGTGAGACGCTGCCGGAGTAAGGAAGGCATTTCAATATCTATATGTAACAAATAATCGGTCAACCAACAGGCCAATGAGTTATCTGCACTACATTGTAGCTCTTTGCTATGTTTATCAATAGCTCTGGTTGCTCAGTGTTTGCTGAAACTCAGTTGAGCTTGCCCCTGATATTATTATCGATCCGCTACTCTCGGTGGGTAAGTGACAATATTAAGGCGTTGGAAGGGCATAAGATATAGGAGTGAAAAGCAGATGTAGCTCCAGCAACGTAAATTACATAACTAATCATCCGGTGGAGTTGATCCTTATCAGCAGTACTCATCACTTTCAGTTCAGCTCAAATTTCTATCAAGCCGTTTACGCTTGCATCGATAACAATGGAACAGCCACTGAGTGCTATGAGACTTCGAGGAGTTCGCATGATATCCGGCTAGGGCCGGCTCTTAATGCCAATGCCAAGGCCCACGTTGTAGTAGATATTTACCTTGCTGAAGGAGCCAAACCAAAAAAAAGCAAAGTACTCCGAATATTGGAGGTTTCTTTTATATATACGTACAACTTCAAAAAAGGATCGCTGATCGCTTAAAATGACAAAAAAGATGACCAGATTGGGGTTCGATCCCAAGACCTTCTGCGTGTTAAGCAGACGTGATAACCAACTACACCATCCGGCCATATTTGGTGAAAGGCGTTTGCTTAGAAATATTCATATAAAATTGTCTAATTTAGCCTTGAAAATTTCGCCTAAATTAGCATATTATCACTATTGATGATTTACAGTTATCGAAGGACATTCATTGTTTCACTAATGAAGAGCAGTCTTAGAGCTGCTGTCTAATTGTTAGTCCAGTGTTGAAAAGCGGACTCGTGCCATTTTAATCCTAGCTCGTTTACTACAGTTGAGTATATCTTATAGATCTAATCCATGGCAAATGTTGTATCTTCTCAAACACAAAACCCGGCTCTAACTCGCTTTACTATTTCAGAGGCTCGCCGGTCTCAGAGATTAATGAGTTTTCCGTTTTTATGGGTCCTTCTCCAACAGAGGTCAAGATGACTCTTGTAACACCATCCTTCAGCACCTGCACGGCTCTTGCATCTAAGCCCGATATGTCCTGTGTCACAAATGTTTTACCTTGCCAGCCGTCAAGTCCTCCCAACAACGCCTGTATAGTCCCTGCTACAATGTCCTTGTTCTCCTCCTCGAAATAAATAACGGCATTTGGGCCGGCATCAAATGTATACGCAGCAACAGTCTTGCCCGCAGCCTTGTTGATACCCTCAACTACTCGAATTGCTGCATGGGACGTAGAGTTCAGATAGAAAATTGGAGGTTTAGTGTCTGAACATACGGAATGGAAACTGTTGCTCTCAGCCATCGTGACATCCGCAAAAGTCTCAAAGTCTTTCTCCAAGATCGCGTTCTTCATATCAATCATGGCTTTGGGCACAACCACATTCGCTCTTTGCGGGAAAAGTCCTGAAGTTGCGACTGTGGTTTGCATACCAGCGGTGCTGCTCACATCCTTCTGTGCTGCAGAAGCTACCAGAACAAGAGCACGCATGGTGGGCCAGTGGCTTGCTGGCGCGATCTCGACAGCGACGCTGTCACTGCCATCAACATTTTCTCCCATCTGCCAGGCTACATATCCTCCGAACAAACTTCGGCATGCACTCCCACTTCCTTGTCTTGCTATGCGTGAGAGTTCTGTAGGCGAGGATGGGAGTTCATACAGATCAGCAACAGCTCTGACTAAGGCAGCAAAACCTGCCGCTGAACTAGCTAATCCCGCTGCAGTGGGGAAGTTATTTTCGGAGACAATGCGGAGTGGTAAGGAGGATAAATTGGGAAGAGAGGAGTCAGCTGACTCAAGGGCGCTGCGTAAAGAGCGTAATTCACGGAAACATGCTTGGGTACGTGCACCAGATACATCTTGTGGTTTCGAGTTGATTTGGAGGGTGTCTTCGGTGAAAGAGGATGAAGCAGCTGCGGTAGTATGTGTGCGAAGGTCGGCTTGATTCAGAGTGACTGAAATAGAGGAATTGGTAGGCAAATTGAGCTTCGGATCTCGCTTTCCCCAGTATCTGCCTAGATATGAGTACTCTTGGTTTAACAAATTCGAGTTCCCAGACTCACTTGACAACCGCAATGTTCACCGGCGCGGTAGTGCTCGATTGGTAGATTGTGCTCGCCATTTTATGTCAAGCTTAAACCTTCTCGCATGTATAAATCAAATATACACGATAGAAATATGAGGCACAATAGAGCCTTGTAGACGGAAACCGGTCGGACTTCGATCCCACCTGGAGAAAAGTACCCCTCCAGAAGGAGGCGGTCAGTGTTGTTCCAATCGGGAGTGATCCTGCCAAGAACCGATACCAAGGGACCGTGCACCCAAAAAAGTTGATAGTGCATCATCACCAATACAGGGACAGTAACATCACTTCAGAGCAAACAACAATGGCAAAAGAGGCCCCAGCGGAGGCATGTCCCGTGGATCACTCCACGCGCGAAGCATGGTTAAAAACGAATCCCAACCCCGAAATCTTCCCAGGAACAAAACCAAAGGAAAGCCGTCCAATTTACCACTCCCCCAGCATCGACCAGACTCCCAGCCCAAAACCCGGCTTTCTTTCCAACTTCACCTTCTGGAGTAGCAATACTTCGAAACCTGACCCTGTAGACACCTCAAAAGTGTCGAGTGAGTTGGGCGTAGATCGGGTAGTATCGACAATACCAAGGGCTTCACCTGTGGATAAGACGGGAGGGGTGCAGCCTGCGAACAGCGAGAAGGAGAGCGGTGTAAGTGAGGGCGGGAATTGGATCTATCCCAGCGAGAAGATGTTCTTTGAGGCGATGAAAAGGAAGGGTCATTCGGGCGAGCCGGCGGACATGAAAACTATTGTGCCAATACACAATGCTGTAAATGAGCGTGCGTGGAAGGAGATTAAGGAATGGGAAAGGCCGTGGGGGAGTAAGGAGAAGTATGTTTTATACCTCTGGGGTGGCTGTATATACTGGAAAACTGCTGACTGGAATAGATGCGGTGGGCCGAAGCTCTACTCCTTTTTGGGCCTATCCAAAAATATGACACCTAAGGCGAGGATAAACACTATTATGGGGTATACAGCACCATTTGATCGACATGACTGGGTCATCGATAGGTGTGGAACTAAGATCGAATATGTGATTGATTTTTACAAAGGCAGTGATAAGAATGCCAATGGACGGCTGAACTTCTATCTTGATGTACGACCAAAGCTAAACAGCTGGGAAGGATGGAAGATGAGGGCCGCTAGACTGGTTGGAATTGTGTGAATGTAAGAGCCGTTATAAGCGTTAATGTATGATTGAGTATTGTATAGCAAGATTCTGGGACATTGGAGTCGGACGGCAAGGAGGCGGCGTTTGTATCAAACTCTCCGCTTCATTGAAGCTTAGCACATATGTATAACTCCTGTAATATACTACCAGACGGACCTCAGGAATAATAATCAGATGGGAAATAACGGAGAATTCCTTCATCTTTCTGTTTATGGGAGACAGCGAGAATATTATTGAAAATATAGTTAATACTTTGAGTTCAATGCTAATCTGCTGTATGAGTTACTATACTGAAACTTATAATGATAAGGAAGCATTATGCCAGCTTGCTCTTTACTGATGTATCAATATCTTCCTCTTTGGCAAGTCGTGTTCCTGATTTAGTTTCAAGAGCTCCCAGTTCAGTATCCCATCCCATCTTCCGCAGTTCTTTCTCAAGAAACTGTGGAGTGATCCAACTTATGCTTTCACGAGTTTGGGATATAATAGACAGCTGATCCTTGCTTTCTTTCAATTCAGAGCTCAGCCTATGTGCTAGCCAGAGTACATGCATCCAGGCATGTAGCTGCGTGATCGTAGTCGATGAGCCTTTCAAAACTATCAAGAATCTCTTCGAGTACCTGTCGTACCAGATAATGTAATCATCGTGTGAAAAATCTTCTAGCAGCCTCTCAAAGATTTCTTCATAACTCTTATCAGAGTCTGTAGATCTACTGACAAGGTCGAGAATTCGAGAGAGAGGAACTCCGATTTCGCAACAGCCAATAACTTTATCACCTTTCCACCTTAGAACTCCATCGAACTCAAAGATACGCTCCTTCTTAGATACTTCTTCAGGGCCCGGAAAGCTTCTGCTCTGTAAGTCTGATCTTTGAATAGACTCACCAATGTATGTTGAGAAAAGAAGATTTGCGCGTTGTCGGTTCAACGTTCTCATGCTCACAGCGCGGACTGCAAGATAGTTCGTTCTGAGATGGATGGTCAGGAGGAATATCAACGCAATCCACGTCCACTTTCTGGAAGATACTGAGATTTGGAAATCAGCTGGCACTCGAGTGGGAAAGTTTCAAGTACGAAAATTTGCGACGATGAGATATGACTTACTATGTGATACAACATAGGAACCAACCAAATTTCCAATCAAAGAAATCACAGTTTCTTGGCTCGAGTCCTTCGCGTTCAATTCCCCAAGATTGCCCTGGGTTGCAAAGTGTGCGCTTAAGGACGCCTTAGCACCTGTAATATAGTTATTTCGCGTTTGTTTTGGTGAGAATAGAGGAGCAACTTACTTCCAGCCGCCACGCCACAAAGTGAGCGAAGTACGCTTGAAGCACTCAGAAGCACTACCCTATAAGTTCTCTATGCACAATGGTATCGGAGTCAGTAACCCAATGTACTGTTTTGAATGTAACATTTGGCTGTAGGTGAACTAACAGGAAGTGCTGGGGAGAGACAATCAAAGACCATAGCAGCATCATTAAAAACGTCTGCAGCTAGCCGATACATCTTGCATTCAGGCTCGAGTGCTGTCCCAAGCCGGTGCGCGAATAGAATGGTGGCAATCCGTCCCACATTGTCCTGGAGCACCGAAAGAAGCAATGCTGCGGTGGGGGAAGCCTGCGAGTCTCCTACGCCAATTCCTAATAGCTATAGTATCAGATATATTTAGGCGAAGATGAAAATGGGTTCAAAATTCCTCGAAAATAAGATACAATCTTCGTACCTTGAAGCACAGCTCTGGAGGCTAGCAGGCCAGCAATGGCACTTGAGAAAGCCTGTAGCGAGTCATAGATTTGATATCTATGGTGTAAGCCACAGAAAGTACCAGGACAAGAGATCGGGTAGTCCTCACTCTAGATAATCATTCGTGACACTTTTAGGGTACCCTGCAGGCAAAAACACGTCCAGGAGCTTCCTTCCATTCTTTTGCTGTTGTCTCTGCATAAATGATCGATTAGCAGCAAATTTTATCAAGCAAACAGTATTACTGAATGCTGGGCACAACCTGCTACGACTAGGAAAGCTCACCTTGATAACAGTGCGGTTCTTATCTCTGATATACCTGGCCACGGGATTGTGCGCGTCGTCGAGTTCAAGGAGTTGAAACTTGGAGAGCCGCGACTCGGGAAGTTTATCTTCCTTTGTAGCATATGTTCCCGCCATAATTTCACATCGACGATTAGTATGTTTGATAAAAAGTGAAATAACAAGTTGCTATGGGTGCTATCGGTAGTGATGGCTAAATGCACTTTAGGAAGCGACATCTCACTGGCGATGTCCTTCCCAGCAATGCCACAAAAGTCATGGTTCTGGAAATTCCAAGGTGCCGGTGCGCTTCTGTTTCTACCT